AATGCTATTGGCTGCATTGTTGTGTATTTCCATGGATTATTCTTTTGGTTTTGGATGTTTGGTTTTGTATGTTTGGCAGTAATGTTTGATTTCTATAGTGTGTTCAGATATTTTTTTGGCTAGTCATAGTAGTAATGGTAATGACCATTTGTAGATAGATGTGGTGAGTGGAGAAGCATTGACAGTAAAAATTTCATTCAGGAAAAACAATAACCAAACAAAACAATCCATATGAATAACAGTAACCAAATTACATAGTACAAAAGATTACATTAGTTAAACCCTTTAATTACTTGAGCACAATAATAGCCATAAGAAAAACAATAACCAAACAAAGCAATCCATTGCTAAATATTTTCTCAAACTTCTCGATCTTTGATTGAATCTCCTTCAACATTGTTGCGATTTCCCCATTTTCAATTGTTACCTTTGCCCCGGTTGACTCAACCTCATCACCATCATCTTCAAAGAAAACATCATGTTCATGTACTTCATTTGACTTCACCCAATTCACTGAGGTAGGTATAAGCCAAGCAAAGAAACGACACTTGTTGTTCGGACAATTGCAAAATAGCTTGCCAACGGTTTCTTTCGTAGGGCCAACAACTTTAATGAGAGCAAATGCGTTGCAATAACACTTAGGATGCTTATACCTAAGATCCAATCTCTCATTCTTTGACATCTTTGATTTTTGGGAAGACATCTTCTACATGGAAAAGATAAAAAAAAATAATAATAATAAAAAAAATAAAAAATGGGACAAACAAAACAATACTGATTTTATATTATAATTCGAAAATGCCCTAATTTGCAAAATCAAAGATGATTTCTGTAATTCGAAAATGCCGTAATTCAAAAAATGCCCTAATTCGAAAAATGCCCTAATTTGAAAATGCCCAAATTCAAAAAATGCCCTAATTCGAAAAGTGCCCTAATTCGAAAATGCCCTAATTCGAAAAAATTGGGACAAACAAACCTGATTTCTGTAAAATGAATTCACAAACAACAAACTCTATACTGAGCCTCAACAAATTGAAACCCTAATTTCAAAAAATAATTTCAATTCGTAAATGACCTAATTTGAAACCATAATTTCAATTTCGAAAATGCACAAAATTAAGGTTTCGATTTCTGAGGTTTAGGTTGCAAAAGCTTACCTCAAAGCGATTTGGATTGCGAAAGCTTACCTCAAAGCCTTGCGATTTGAAGGAAAAAAAATTGGAAGAGCTCCTCCCTGCTTGCGCGATTTTTTTTGAAGAACAGCCTCAGCGAGAGTTCAATTTAGTTCAGCTATTAAGGGGCAAAATAGTCATTTCATTCAGTTTATGGCGAAAAAATGGAGAAAAAGCCGCACCACACGCGCGTGAGATGCACATCCGTCAAGTTAGACGGTTTAGGGGATAACGCGCAAGCAGAAGTATAATAAAAGGAGGTATAGCGCAATTTTTAAAATACAGGGGGTAATGCGCAGATTTCGTATAATACAGGGGGTTTGGCGCAATTTACTCACAAAATATAAAGTATAAACAAACAAATATCGATCGACATTCCTTGTCCACTCCAACCTCTTTTGCGGGCCCCACTTAAAAGTCATCTTCTTTCTCCAACTGATTTGGATTCCATTAGTGAAAAATACACTGCACAACCATGGCGACGCCGATGGAGCACGTGGAGAGTATACGGCGGCACAAGTTCTCGATCGGGGCAAAAGATCCGAACCCGCTCACGGAGGACCTTCACCAGGCCGTCAAGAATCTCTCCGCCGAGCTTTACGCCAAGGACGTCCATTTTCTCATGGAGCTCATTCAGGTCTCTGTCTGTGCCTAAGTTTTTCTTTTGTTGCGTGTATAGAGACAGATACACGTATCTATATATATAGGGAGATTCTACGGTCCCGTTCCGGAATTATTCCATCGGAGTTTGCAACTGTTAGATCAACTATGCCGATGGAATGGTTCCGTAATGAAATTGTAGCATTTCCCATCTATATATAATCGAAATGCTTGTTCTGGGCCTCTGTATTAAGTATTAATTGACTACAACATTACAGAATGCTGAGGATAACGAGTACGAGGAAGGCGTTGATCCGTCATTACAGTTTGTGATCACGTCCAAGGACATTACCGGAACCGGAGCTTCGTCTACTCTTGTCATCTTCAACAACGAGAAGGGATTTTCACCCAAGAACATCGACTCCATCTGTAGCGTCGGGCGATCCACCAAAAAGAACCACCGCAAACGTGGCTATATCGGCGAGAAAGGTTTTAACTCTTTAAGACATCCTCAAAAGTTTCCTAGTTTTGATAAATCTTTGTATCGTACGATGATGTTTCTTTCTTTCTTTCTTTCTTTCAGGAATCGGGTTCAAGAGCGTGTTTCTAATCACCTCTCGTCCATACATATTCAGCAATGGCTATCAAATCCGTTTCAACGAGTCCCCCTGCCCGGCTTGCGATGTCGGCTATATCGTCCCTGAGTGGGTCTACTCGAACCCCATCGTCTCGGAGATAAAGTTAATCCACGGCCCAGACGTAAACCTCCCGACCACGACCATTGTCCTGCCTCTGAAGCCCGACAAGGTGGGGCCCGTCAAGAAGCAGCTCTCGAGCGTCCACCCGGAGCTCCTCCTATTCCTCTCGAAGATCAAGAAGCTCTCTGTCCGGGAGGAGGGCTCGTCCGGCCCCACGGCACTAACCGCAATCTCCATCTCGAGCGAGACCAACTTTGTCACGAGGAAAAACGTCGATGCCGAGTCTTTTCTCCTCCACCTCTCGGCCGATGCGGGCCCGGAATGCAGCTACCACATGTGGCGACAGAGGTTTCCGGCCCGGCCCGAAAACCGGGTCGAGAGGAGAAGCGATGTCGAGGAGTTTTCGATCACGCTGGCTTTCCCCAACGGCGAGCGGCCTCACGTGGGGCCCACTTCTCCGGGTATCTACGCTTTCCTCCCCACAGAGATGGTCACGGGATTTCCCTTCATAATCCAGGCGGACTTTCTCCTGGCCTCGTCTCGCGAGACGATCCTACTCGACTCCCCATGGAACCGAGCGATTCTTGATTGCGTGCCGTCTGCTTTTACGAACGCGTTCATTTCTCTCGTCAAGGAAAACAGTGATGCTCCCATTTTTAATCTCCCGCGCATGTTCAGCTTCCTTCCGGTCGAGAGCTCGCCGTACCCTTTGCTCAACTCGTCCGTGAGGGAACCGATCAGGTCGAAGCTGATGGGAGAGAATATTATTCCCTGCGAGTCGTACACGCGGCAAAGGTTTTTCCATAGGCCAGGGGAAGTCGGGAGGCTGAGGCCCACTTTCTGGAATATTCTCGAGAAGGCCCGAGAAGAAGGGGTGTGCCTAGATAACATCTCGACCCACGGGAAGTATATTCTGAGTTTCGCATTCGACAACAAGCAATGCGATAGCGTTCTGAATTTCTTGAAAGTGGGACCTGTCGAGGGTGACTGGTACGCGAAGTGTGTCCGGAGTTTGAATCTCGTGTTGGGAGGATCCGAGGGTCTCTATCTGGAACTCCTACTTTTCGCGGCGGAAAATTGGCTGGCCTTCTTAAGCACGAGCTTTATCGACGTGCCTCTTATTAAGTATGTGGGTCAGCAGTCTCAGGTCTCACTGTGCTCACCGTGCGCAGCAAACAAAACTCAGACGATTCTTCTTTTGTCCAAATCTACCGCTCAGATCTCGTGGCTGGTCGATTGGAATAGGGAGTTTGTAGGTGTTCATAACAGGTTTTTCCTTCCTGAGTCGACTCAGCGCGAAATTTTTATTCATCCCAAGAGGCAGACGATATGGGATTGGCTTTCAAAGGAAGTGGGCGTTACTTCCGTTACGGTCTATGACTATGCTTTCCAATTGGGGAAGTCGATCGGTAAAGACCGAAAACATGCCGTGACCTATGCCCATTTTCTCTATCACTCGACCGTGAAAAAGTACCTATCCACTACAGAGGCTGATCACGCGGCCAGCTGCATGCCGCTCGTTAACAACTATGGGCAGGTGACCGTGAACAGGCGGGGTGTTATTGTCCCGGCCAGCGGAAGCCGTTGGGTGCAGCTCGTCGGTTTCAATCCATGGAGATCCGAAGGCTATGTCGAACTTGGTGAGGATTATCTTCACGCGGGAAATTATGCAGGTGGGGTCATCACCCGCGAGAAAGAACTTACTCGTTTTCTCGAGTCTTACGTAAAAGCTTTGGACGTGCCCGATTTGGCGCCTCCCGATGAGGATATCCCGAGCTTCTATTCGTCACTGACAAAGAAAAATGCATTGCTCCTTTTGCAATGGGTTCATAACCTGAGAGTGAAGAGAACTCAATTACCCAACAAGTTCCTTAACTGTGTGAAAAACGGGAACTGGCTTCGCGTTTTGCTCGGTACAAGCGTGACCTTCAAGCCACCATCACAATCCTTTCTCCTTACTTCTTCATGCGAGTGCCTCAATAAAGACGGATCGATTCTTGTCGATATACCGTTTGTGGATCAGAGCTTTTACGGCGAGGAACTATCCGAGTACTACGAGGAGCTGAGACACGTTGGGGTCATGTCCGAGTTTAAGGATGCATGCGAGTACATCGGGAATCATCTCATGTCTGTAGCGGCCTCGTCAACTCTGACTCGTGACCATTTCTACTCGATACTGAACTTCATCCGATTCTTGAGGGATAAACTCCTTCCTCCCGATGGTTTTATAAACAGCATAAAGGACAAAAAATGGCTAAGGACTTCCCAAGGCTACCGGAGTCCTCGGGAATCCGTGCTTTACGACCGGGAATGGGAGGCCGCTTCTCATATTAGCGAAATCCCATTTATCGACCACGGCTATTACGGGACGGAACTGAATTCTCATGGTAAAGAACTTCAGCTTCTCGGCGTGCTCGTCGGTTTTCACGGAAATTACAAACTCGTTCACGACAAATTAAAATCTCCGTCTGGCCATTGTTGTAGATACCAGGCAGCAGAGGACATTCTTTTGTTGCTCGAGTGTAGGCGTAATTATGGCTCGTCCGAGAAGCTCCTCGGAATTCTCAAATACTCGACTCTCCTCAAAACAAACAACAAGGGCTACAAGCCCCCGGGCGAGTGCTACCTGTTCGACCTCACGTGGGGATGCCTTCTGCAGGTCTTCAACACCACCTTTTCCCTCATTGACACCCAATTTTATGGAGATAAAATTTTGTCTTTTCGAAATGAGCTAGCAGGAATAGGAGTGCTCGTCAGTTTCGAGGAGGCAACGAAAGCATTCGCTCGTGTTTTCAGGCAGCAGGCTTCGTTGTCTGCCATTAGTCGAGACAATGTCCTCTCGTTTCTTTCGTGCTGTAGAAAGTTTAAACTCGCCGGTTTAAAATTTGACAAAGACGTCAAGTCATGCATCGAAGAGGCTAAATGGCTGCGAACCCGGCTAACTGATTACAGGCCACCGAAGCAGTGTATACTGTTCGGCCCCGAGTGGGCCCCCGTCTCCTCGATTTCTATATTGCCTTTTATTGACGATGGTGAGACTTACTACGGTAAAGAAATACACGAGTACAAAAACGAGCTTCAGGCCCTTGGAGTAATCGTTTCTTTTAAATCCGGTGCCAAGTTTGTGGCCTCGAGCCTCTGTCTACCTCAGGATCCGAACAGTATCACGGCTGCAGCCGCTTATTCCTTGTTCGAATGCATTCGGAACCTTCGTACCAATCTAGACGAGCCTTCTTTAATCGAAAATCTCGTTCGTAAATCCGCACGAGCGTGGATAAAGACTCGGGCCGGTTACCGGGCTCCAGACGAGTGCCTGTTATTCGGCCCTGATTGGGAGTCATCTTCCTTATCCCGTGAGGACGGGCCCTTTATTGACGAGGCATTTTACGGGCCGGGCATAAGATCCTATTCGAAGGAGCTGAACACTTTAGGGGTCGTAGTGGAAAAGGAAAATGGGTGCTCATTGATCGCCTCCCACATCGAGTCCCACGAGAAAGATTTTGCGGCCGTCAAACGGATATATTCCTACCTGAACGAGTCGAAATGGAGAGCTCCGGTGAAAAATGCCGTGAAAATATGTGTTCCGGTCGGCTCCGATGGCGCCAAATGGGTAACCTCCGAAGAATGCGTCGTCCATGACAAAGACGGTCTTTTTGGCGGGATATTTCATGTTTTGGACAAGTTTTACGAGAAGGAGCTGTTGACTTTCTTCTCGTGCGCGCTCGAAGTCAAAGCATTCCCATGTCTCGACGATTACCGTGACCTATGGACTGATTGGGAGGAGAAATATTCGAGCCGCCCATTGGCAAGTTGCGAGTGCCTCGCCTTTTGGTCTTACGTCGCCAGGCATTGGGGCCCGAAGGCGCGGGAGGCTCTCTCCGAGAGCTTCCAGAAGCTTCCTGTCTTTTCTGGCTCGGGTGGGATTTTACTCGTCGACAAGCGTGACGTCTTCATCCCGGACGATCTCTACCTCAAAGATCTGTTCGAACGTTCGGCTTCTTCACGTCCTCTGTTCGTCTGGTGGCCTCGTCCGAGTTCAAAGTCCCTGCCCCGGAACAAGCTGCTCGAAATTTTTGGCAAAATCGGCGCTCGGAATTTATCCGAGTCTGTCGAGAGAGTCGAGGAGGACTCTTCCACTCGTTTGGCCGTGGGGCCCGCCGCCGCACAGGAAAGTTCGGGTGAGGTTTTCGTTCGAAAAAGAGGTTTCGTAAAATTGATCCTTGGTTTTCTGGCGGGCCTCGAAATCGAGCCCGTCGAGAGGCACATTGCCGTGAAGAACTTGCTCGAGGCTACTGTTATCGAGACCCCATCACCGATAACCGTCGAGTACAAACTGAGGCTTAAATCAGGAGACGTCGTGAGTGCCAATGCACGGGGGTCGATGCGTTGGGAGAAGGACACGCGTCGGTTTTTCGTTCACGGGTCGGGTGGGTCGTCGGGCGGTTTTAAGAACGTTCTAGAAAGCGCGATGTGTTTTGCTCGGGTGGTCTCGGAGGGGCTTATGTGGGACAAGGAGGATGAGATGGGGCGGCTGGCCGAGCTGGTCGAGCTCGGTTTTTTACTGGAATTTGACGAGGCGGCGGTCGAGTTCTTGATGAAGAGGAAGAACCTGCAGATATTTTGGGAAGACGAGGAGTTTTTATCCTCTGCACTCTTCATTTTGAATGCTTAATTTTAAAGCATTGCTGCTGTTGTCTTTCTGAGTCTTAACTGGATTTAGTACTTTTTTCCAGGTTTGAAGTTGAATTATTAATACAATCTGCAGTATTGTTAACATTGCGCATGTATTTGATCTTTAATTTAAAAAGTATTTGAAATTATTTTAAATTTGAAGTACTTCTGAAAAAACTTATTATATTGTTATTTTCTAATTAAAATGACACATCAACTTTGAGACTTGTGTTAATAAATGTATATTTTATTAGCATGGATAATAATTCAAATTTATAACTTACTCCGAAAAACAAAAAGTTTGCAGAATTATCATATGTTTGACAATACAATTTTTATATAGAGAGTAGTATGTTTATAAGTATTTATATATAGAGAAGGATTTAAGACTGATCTAGTTCATAGATTTTTAGTTAAATTAGTGCAAAATAATATATGAGTAACATCGGTTTCTGTTCGATAGTCGGTGCGGAACTGTGGGGTTTGTTCCAGGGTCTGTTGGCCTGGAATATCGGTGCTCGTACGATCCAGGTTGAAGTCGACAATAAGAGAATCATCGAGATGTTACAGCTACCACATCACGAGGGGCGGCATGGTGGCCTATTGAAGGGCGTAAAGGAGATGTTGGGTCGACCTTGGGCGGTAGTGATTCATCATAGCTATCGCGAGGTCAACTTTGTAGTAGATTATTTGACTTCATTGGCATCAAAGGGTTTGGGTAGTCTTCAACGGTTGGTGATCCCTCCGCCGGGGGCGAATGTTTAGTTACATCATGATAGGGTTGGCATGTCCTACCCTCAGTCGGTTCTAGTTTAAGTTCTACATAGCCTCCTTCTCTTACACTAAAAAAAATATGAGTAATATGAATAATTGTGAGTAATATGAATAATTGCACAACATATGTACACACAATCTACATAATATCATATATACTAGAATGTCTCATGAGATTTCAAGAAAAAAAAAATCAATCCTAAGAACAGAATTTTGGAACAGCCACACGATTAACATCGCTCGACAATCTCGATTTCGTCATCTTGGCCATTTGAAGCTGCATTTTCCGACAAACCTTCTCCAATTCCATCGCCCGCGCGCCATTGCATTCCCCGTAAATGTGCTTCGACCTTCTCCTTCTCGTACGAAAAACCGAGATTCCGCGCATAAAGCACGATTTTCCTAGAGCTTTCCCTTTTCTTCCCCTCTTTCATTGTTCGTTCTTGCCGAGTGGCGAAGGCTCGTGAAGCTGATTTTGTAGGGAAAATCAGGTTCTTAATCAGATGCTCGAGTGCCTCGGTCGACAGCTTCTCGTAATTTAATCCCCAGCATATTTTCATCTTATGTTCCTCAGACAAGCTCGTGTGAACCTTAATGGCATATTACAATCAATCAAAGTTTAGTCGAACACTATACAACATTATACAAAAAGTCGAGTTGCTACTAATAAAAAAAATCGAATACCTCAAAGTACAAATTTATGGCACGATAAACTTGATCGAACGAGTCTCTAGTGGAATCCGGTAGTCCCTTGATCACTACCAAAAACTTCGACGGCCTCAAATGTGGATCGGGTGCTATCTCGGCTAAATACAAATCCATCAAGCTCGCGACTTTTTTCACTCGTCTCGACTCGACTCCACAAACTCCTTTCACGACAAACGACTTCAAAAGCCTAAGAACCAAATCCACATCGTACAAGTAACTCTTACTCGGTTGAGAAGGGACCAACAAATTATCTAAGCTCGCTCGATCTAACAACGACCCGATCATGCTCTCCAATGTGTCCCTACACTTTTGGCTTGACTCAACGTTCAAACTGACTCTTAGAAGCTCAAATAAACTCTTGTGGGACACACATTTTATATCCAAAGAATAAAGCATGTCGACTATAGCTTCCATGATTTCGACTTTCTCTTCCGAATCCAAGTCCGACGACCCAAATCTCGACTTTTGATAATAAAACAGAAACTTACTAATAATCCCGTTTTCGAGATTCCTAGATACCATTATCCTTACCGTTTTTTCTATAAAACCGATGTCTAAAGCCGTTAGATCCTCAAACCAAGATGGCATACGAGGACTTTTCGTCTCGCATGACGCTCTAAAACCCGAGCTCTCGGGCGAAGAAGTCAAATGGCTCGACGAGTTCATTTCCCAAGATTGCTCGAGTTTTATGACGAGAGAGTCTAGTAATTTGTCGACTAAAGTCGACGAGACTAGAGAATCTCTAGGAAGTAATTTGTGAGACTCCTTTAAGGCCACAAGAAGCTCGGGCCACGACCATTGCTTAATAATCTCTTGTGTCGATTTCTCTAGCTCATTTATCTCCATAAAACGTACGGCGCACGTGAGGTTTGCAATGTTGATAGGATTTACGTCGGGTTTTTTGCCATTGTTGTAGAAGAATCGTGTGACGAGCTCGAAAGTAGGCGGGCCGCCCGGGAAGTCGTGGAAAATGATCTTCGTTCGATGGGTCGAACGACTAGATTTACCGAGCAATTTGTTTACTTTTCTAGAGTAGGAAGATATGATTCTCTACATGATCAATGTGTAGGAAAACAGAGTTAGAAGAAGTGATTTTCCATCAAAAGGCAATGCAATTGTGTGAAAAAAAAAATGCTGGGAATTAGGGAAAAGCGTGTTTCATTATGAAAAAGTTGTCAATGGCTTGTGTGCATTATTACATTAACTTTAGATTTTTGAGAAAACGAAAAAGGGAACAAAAAAGATAGTGGGCACATTTTGGGTTGCGATATAAAAAAATAAAATAAAATAAAGTAAAATAAAAAATAAAAATAAAAATTGAGAGGTCGTTATAGCGCAATAAATTCTTGAAATGATTTTTTAAAATACTAAAAAAAAAAAAGAGCCAAACTTTCCCTGCAAATAAGGGCTTCTCCAATGGTTAGCTATTTGGCTAACTATTATGACGTGGACATGGAAAAAGTAAGAGAGAGAGTAGTCACTAGCTACTAACAAATAGCTTATCTATTTCACGTAGCCCAAGATCATGTGAGAGGAGTACATGGGTCCAATAGTGTAAAATAATTATTTTTCTTATCTCTCACATCCACGTCAGCTAACCATATAGCTAGTAATAGCTATTACCATTGGAGATACCCTAAGGGCAACAACAGTAGTTAGAGGGGTCCTTTAGGCCCTTGAAATCACACAATGTAATGTCTCACGCAACTTTGTTAGGCAGTCTAATCGTTAGTTGGTCGAGCTTAATTAATTTTTTTATTAATAAAATGGTCGAGCTTAATTAATTTTTTTATTAATAAAAATGCATATTTATGTTATGCTATCATAATGAGACATTTTTTTTTATTCAATTTCAACATTTTTGGCATAAATGTTGATATTAGCCTGCCTAGTCGGGAGTCGTATAAATATGACGTAAAATGTCTTACTTTTATTTATACTATACTTTAAAGTCTCGTATGTGATACCAAAATTATGTATATTTGTTAAAAACAAAAAATATGATTGCATAACCACTCGACAGTGTAACAAAACACCAATCTTTTTTAAATGATTCAAACATACTAAACTTTACTATCAAATAAATTATATTCTAATATACCATGCCTAACAATTGGAGGAAAAAACAAACAACCCAAAGACAAATCCACACACAAAACCCATATAAAATTTTACAAAACAAAACTCTTTGCAAAAAAAAAAAAAAAAAAAAAAAAAAAAAAGTCAATTAGAATTTCATCACCTTATCAACCATGAAAACCTCTTCACCATTGACATCCACTTCAAGATAACAACAATGCTCATTATCCATAGCCATAGAAATAAGTTTGTTTTTGCTTCTTAAAAAAAGCACTTCAAATCAAGAGACCCTTTTTGGAGCTTTTACAGAGAGAGAGAGAGAGAGAGAGAGAGAGAGAGAGAGAGAGAGAGAGAGAGAGAGAGAGAGTAACAGAGTTATGGTTTGAGTCCCCCCACTATTGACATACATTTAGTTATCTATTTTTAAATACATTTATGTACTATTTTTGTGCTATTAAAACAACTATAGTTTACATTTCATTTAGGGTATGTCAACTGAACTTAATGAAAAGTTAGTTAGATACACGATGATAAGTTAATTGATAGCTTATAATTAAATTAGAATTTTGAACCAATAACTAATAAATTGTGGCTGATAACTGAAAAATTCAGTTGGTATAATAATAGTTTGTAGCTCGTCATGACCGAAAAACTAGTCGATACTCGTTAAGTTAAGTGAACGATTATAAGTTAATTTCGAGCTGAAAACCTGTATGTTCTTATTATGTAGTTGTTAACTAGAAATAATATTTTTCTTATTAAGTAATTGTTAATAGTGTTTACTATTATTTAGGAAATATATTATTTTTTTACTTGCTATGTACAGGAAGTTGGCTTCATTAAGTCAACAGTTAGTTCCATAGCAAAACTCAATTTATTATATATAGTCGATGACTGGAAAACTTGACGATACCCGTTAAGTTAAGTGAACGATTATAAGTTAATTTCGAGCTGAAAACTACATGTATGTTCTTATTATGTAGTTTTTAACTAGAAATAATATGTTTTCTTATTAAGTAATTGTTAATAGTGTTTACTATTATTTAGAAAATATATTATTTTTTACTTGCTATGTATAGGAAGTGGGCTTCATTATGGAGCCAACAGTTAGTTCTATAGCAAAACTCAGTTTATTATATATAGTCGATGACTGAAAAACTATTTGATAAAAAATTAATTGACAAGTTACCTTAAACAACAAAATACCAATGCAATAATATCTTGATACATTAGATCCATAATAAACATATGACAAAAGCTCAAAATTTTAAATATTAATGAAATATTTTGAAACATTTAGATCCATAAACATATGACAGAAGCTCAAAATCAGGATACATAAAAATTTATAAGCTGGCAAAATAATTATAAGGCTAATTAAATCATTCAACATGAAATCTCATAATTGGCTTTATTTTTTTTCTTGAATATTATGGAACAATGAATTCCTTTTTGAAAACATTGTGACGTGACACACCAAAAGGCTCAACAAATTTTTGAAATAAATTGGTTAATGTGTAGATTATGGGGCAGCCCCTACCCAATTGGGTCTAAGGTACCATCACCTACAGCAATTAGTACAACTCGATCAGCATATCACAAAAATACAAGATGGCATTAAACCAAAAATGGCATTACCATAGCTTTTAAATTATTAAAACAAAATAAAATTATAGCTTTACAAAAATAAAAAAATTATCCTACTATATAATAGTGATTGCATAGAATTGTAAACGAAGTCAGGAGTAGGGCTGCAAACGAACCGAGCGGCTCGCGAGCGCTCGAGTCAAAGCTCGAGTCGAGCTCGAGCGGCTCGAGCACGAACTCGAGTCGAGCTCGAGCCTATATTTTGCCTTGTCGAGCGGCTCAAGATATATGTTAAATTACTAATTAATACTCTTTATATATATGTTAGCATAGGTCCTTAATGGTAATTTTACCTTTTCACTTAAAAATTTTCGAGCCGAGCTCGAGCATTATGATTTCTAGTCGAGCTCGAACCGAGCTCGAGCTATTGTAATTTTTTATCGAGCCGAGCTCGAGCAACTAAAAAAAAAAAAAATCAATCCTGCTCGATAAGGCCAAAGCTCGACTCGACTTAGCTCGTTTGCAGCCCTAGGCAGGAGTTTGAAATTCTAATATTAGAGCTTAGCTCGTTAAGTTAACGAGTTGATAAAGAAGCTCGAACTATAATATTTGATGTATGATGAAAGTTCAATTATCAAGTCTAACTGACCTTAGGTAAAGACTCTTGTTTACCAACAGCCTGAAATGAGCTTTAACGAGTCGATATATGATAAAAGTTAAAAATCATTATGTAAAGACTTATAGTATCAAGTCTTAATGAGCCTTGTTAGCTAAACCAACCTTAAATGAACTTGAGTTCGATTGTTTTTTACACGAGCTAAAATGAGCTTACGAGCGAGTCATTTCGAACAGGTAGGAATAACAAAATCGCTTGCTCATCCTAAAATAAAAGTAAATAATATATAATAAAATATGCATATGGGTCCCAAGATTAACTGCTACGAAGAGAAATATCTAGATGAATATAAATCAAGAATGTTGCAACAAATATAGTGCAATAAATTTGAGATAAGAACTGGCCATTTATGATATTATAACCAATCACTGTTATGAGCTCTTCGTGGTTGTAATGGGCTGGGCTTTGCCTGCAAATTATGGCACAGATTTAGGACACATATGGTTTCTTATGGCCCACTTCACTTTTTTGTTATCCAGATTTTTCCTTCAACATCAAAGGCAGCAAAAATTTGAGGGAACATTTTGAATTTTTCGAGTGTGAAATATATTTTCCTTTTTTTTTTTTTTCCTGATTGATTTTAATGAGTGGCCATCACTTTATTAAAAAGACAGTTGTGTAGATTTTTTCGAATTTATTTGTATTTTTCAATTTTTTTTTTTATGAATACAAAATTGAATGATTATATTGCAAATTAAGCAAGATCAAATTAATTAACTTACATATTGAGAAAATATAAAATATAATATTTTAGAAAATAGTCATGCTCATTTGCCCACGATGGACGAGTGTATTAGCATCTTACAGTTTTGCTATGGAGCAATCGGATGGCTCGATTTATGGAACCATTTACAGTTATTTACAAATAATGTGTTGACACGTGTCCTACAATAAATACACTTTGGACACGTGCCAATACGTTCAGTTATCGATGGCTCCGTAAAAAAACCATTCGATTGCCCAATAGAATTTTTGTAGCATCTTAATGTTTTCACGATGGGTAAGTGAACGTTTGCGTATAGAAAAAATTACAATTTCTTATCTGAGACAGCCTAATGTTAGTCGGATCGACTCATCGTACTCGTTGAAAAAATATTGAATACTTAAAGTGATAAATGTCATATTTTTAATTATTTAATTTTTAAAAAACGTCATATATTTAAAAAAAAAAAATATGTATATATATTAGAAAATATATGGTTGTCTTGTCATGATTTTTTTTTTTTTTTTTTTTTTT